GTCACCAGGCTGGAGTACAGTGACATGATCTCGGCTCACTGCAACCCTTGCCTCCTGGCTTCAAGCAATTCTTCTGCCTCAGCCTCCCGAGTAGCTGGGACAACAGGTGCATGCCACCATGACCAGCTAATTTTTTTGTTTTTAGTAGATATCAGGTTTCACCATGTTGGCCAGGATGGTCTCGATCTCTTGACCTTGTGATCCACCCGTCTTGGCCTTCCAAAGTGCTGGGATTACAGGTGTGAGCCACTGCGCCCAACCACTTCTTACTTTTTCATTGGTCTCTGCTTCTCTTGTCCCATTCTAATCCAATCTCCATGTGGAGGCAGAAAGATCTTCAAAAGCTCAATAGGATCCAGCTTAGTCTCCAGCTTAAACCCCTTCAGTAGCTTCCCATTGTCCTGGGAGAAAACTGACTCTTCTCCAGGTTCTGATCGTGCTTTTTTCCCAGTCTTAGTTTGGCTCTTTTCCGTGCTCCCACATACTGGTCATGTTGGTCTTTTACTTCCTAGAAAGCAGCTACTTGAGGTTCTCTCCCCACAGGGCCTTTGCACCAGCTGTGCCTTCTGAAAGTGCTTCGCCCCCAGCCCTCCCTGTGCGTTGCTACCTCTTAGTCTTCAGGTTTCAGCTGAACTGATGCCTAGGAAGACAAATCAATTTTAGGTTTCTTACCTCTGCCTTATTCTCTCTCACAGAATCTTGTTTTATACTTTCTATTAAAAAGGGTATTTTAATAAATGTTTATGTACACATTCACTTTCTTGCTTTCTATGTATTGTCTGCCTTTTTCCGCTAGACTCCCCCTCCGTGAGGGCAGAGGACCATGTCCGTTTTGTTCATCACTGTGCCTGTTGTAGTACCTAGCACATAGCAGGCACTCGATAAACATCTATTGAACGCATTAATGCAATGAGGTGGATAAAATTCTTCAAAATATGCAGTTTATAGGATAAATTTTTTAAATTACTATAATTGTTCTACATGCTACTGTAAAAGTATTCCAATAATACACAGAGCATAAAGTTAATAGATATTTTTCTCTCTAAGCTGCAGTACCACTCAGTGGTGATAATTCTATCAAAGGCTTTCAGTTCCAGGAGTTTGAGACCAGCCTGGGAAGCATAGTGTAACCCCATCTCTACCAAAAAAAAAAAAAAATTAGCCAGGTATGG